GAAGCTGGGTGAAGGGTATAGAGGAACTGTCTAAACTATTTTTGCAACCTGTATGTAAGTCTAAAATTATTTCAAAATAATAACCATTAAACACTAAATCATGTTATAGTCTTTGTGATGCCAAAGGGAACGTCTCATTGTGGTGCTAGTATTTGAGTTATCTTCTATTTCTGACAAGTATGAATGGTTTCCCATTTGTGAAAATGATGTAAAGTATTGTTTACAAAATTTTTATGACCAAAATATGAATCAATACAAACAAAAATGTTAAGTTAATAATAACACATGTGGCATGAGGATGTGGTAAAAACTGCAAAAGTGATACTCAATAAAGTTTGAGGAATAGTGATCTTAAGTTCAGTGTCCCACCTTTGATGCTCCTCTTTTTTCTTCTTCTCCATCCACCACCTACTTACAAACATCAAGAAGTAAGATGCCTTAAAATGCATATATAGTATGCTACTTTCTGTGAAAGAAAGAGGAGGGAATAAGAAAGCATACGTGTATCTGCATATCTTTACAAATAGAAACATAGGAAGGACATATCCAAAAACAATGGAGTTGGGTACCTATAAGGCATGGTAGGAATTGGGGTGAAAGGGATACAACAAAGGAAAGAGTGACACTTTTCTGAGTTAATGTTTTTGTATTGTTTTGACTTTTGGAAGCATGTTAATGTCCTACATATGTAAAAAATTAAGAAGAATGGGAGGGAGGAGCCTAAAACTAAAAGCAAATGGAAACAAATGAACCCAGTTGTATTTAGATGAATACCATAACCAAACTGAAGGGAAAATTTAAAAAGGACTAATCCAAGTGGCTTACGAGCATAGGCTTTGATGATACACACTCAAGTTGGGAGAGGAAATTGCAAACAAATCTCAAACTCTTTTTAGCAGGCTTTTTTGTTTTTGTAGTGGTATATACAAACAATTCTGAACTGATTTTAGATATATTATAGGATTAAGCAAATTAGTGAATGAGATGATGTCGTTGAGAGCCAGGATTCTCACTGTGGAAGAAAGCATATGTGGGATAGAGGAAGGCAAAAAAGAACTCTGTGAGAATGATTAGAATTGGAGGTATTGGTGTAAACTCATGATCTCTAAAATGTGTGTGCATACATGCTTATATAAGTACACATGGATGTATGGATGTATGTGTGTGCGTGTGTATATGTGGATTATATGCATATATTTCCTAGCTCTGTCCGCTGAGAGGGCTTAACTCCCCATAGATTGTCCCCAAGTAGCAATGAGCACACCTAGCACCCAAATCTTGATCTCTAATAACCTTCCCACTAAAAGAAACCAGGGCTGTTCAGAGAAATGGCTGATTTCAGAGCTGGGCATGGTAGATACAAGATGAACCTGCAACACCTTATTATGCCAGAAAGTAAGGAAGTCCTGAAAAAAAAAAATCATGGGGGCATGTCACAAGGACACAGGCTGTAGCTTGACAGATCTCCCACTTGCCAAACCTGGGACAATTTGAGCATCAAAGTAATTAGGTATAGTAATGAATATAAACCATTGAAAAAATGGAAACCCATGAATCCATACCAATAATAAAATAGATAAATTAATGGGGGAGAAGGAGAGAGCACTTGCTTATGGTAGAATGCTGAGTGACAACTGATAAACGTGGAGGGAAGGATAGAATTGGAATGTCATCAGTGTGAGACCATCATAGTAAAGACCAAAGCGAAGAAGAATCCTCAATAGATGCTAAATCTAAGGGGAAATTTTAACCAGGAGCAGTATATTCACATGGTCTTAAATTGTCTCCTCAATTGCTTCCTAGTTGCAAAAGAAAATATAATACCTAGACGGTAGAGAAATCAGACAACGTCTTGACTGGGTGATCCAAATTAATATCACCAATGAGAGACAAATGAACACTGTATATTGTATACCTCCAGATGTGATGCCCTGAGGAGGACATAACATCACATGTGATATTCCGGCCCGAAATGCATGTCTTATATCTTATTATAAGCATTAGAAAAACCAAAACTAAGGGGGGAAAAAGGAGACAGGGAACTTTTGAAGAGTTGACATCCTTCAAAAATGTCAATATCATATAAGAAAGAGACAGACTGTGGAAATAGTCCAGATTAAAGTAGGCTCAGTAGATAACTAAATGTAATACCTAATCCTAAATAAACAAAAAGGCTATGCAGGATTTTATTGGGTCAACTTATAAAATTAGGGTATGGACAGTATCAATATTAAATTTATTAAAGTTAAAAACCATACTGTGATTATGTATGAGAATAGCCCTAATTCTTAGGAACACTGAAATATTTGGGGATAAAGGGTCATGATATATGTAATTTACTCTCAAGAGACTCCAAAAAGAGGTACTGTGTGTGCAAAGAAAGAAAGAGAGAGAGAACACAAATGATGGAGCGTATGGGGTAAAATGTTGACAATGGGTGGATCTGGGAGGAGGGTATATGGTGCTCCTTATACTACATCTATTCTTAGAACCTTCTGATAAATTGAAAATTATTTCCAAATGAAAAATTTTAAAAATAAAAAAGAATGTGATCGTTAGTGATGACTGAATGTTCTGCATCCTTGAGAGAGACTTTATTGAGATTTAACAAGGCCATTGCATGCAGAGAACTAGGCTGAGAGGGCCTGGTTCACCTCTGAAAGTCATAGTCTGGAGACCAAAGTGCTGTATTGATAAACAAGCCTGCCAGTTTTCTTGTTCTCTTATTCTAACACTGTTTCTAAGGAATCCAGTAGAACTGCACCCCAAGGCAGTTAACTTAGTTAAGTCCCACCCAGACTCTAGTATGTGTCCATCTGTCTCAGAGGAGGCCATCAGACCTAGGTACAGGCCACTGAAAAGGACTGTAGAAAGCAGCACAGACGCAGAGTGTGAGCTACAGGCTCATACTGGTTGAGCTTAATAGAGTTTGTGTAGCTTCCTTGCCTGGAGTGGGATAAATTAGGTAGCTTGTCATCCCAGAGCTCTTAGTCTCAGTACTGGCATTGAGAGACTTTAGCAAGAATTTAAAAATAGAAAACTTAGAGCTGAGTAATGAACTGCCCTCCACACCCCACTGGTGATTTACCCAGGCTTCATCAGCCCCAAAAGACATGGTGTTCTTTTCAGTAAATCAGAAAATACTGATACCATTAATTCCATCACTGAAATTAGGAATTCGATAGTAGAGAAGGTAGTTTTATTAAATGCATATATATGTCCACATCTGAAAAGTAATACCTGAAATAGCTTTAAGAAATCATGTTTTCATGTTTTTCCAATTAAACTTATTTGTTTTTCTTTCACCTTTCTTTTGTTAGCTCCCTAGCACGCAAACAGTAAAAGGTTTTTTAAATTTTCTGAGAAAAAAATTTAATTAAGAAAATGCTATCTTTTTCATAGTTTTTTCCTTGGGATTTGGAGGAAAAGCGTAATCATATTTGTAGACGACCTTTAGAACAAGGGACACTCCAAGTGTCTGTCATGCTCCCTAGGAGAAACTGTCTTGACGGGTCTTTGGACACTATAGGATAGAAATACTAAGATTAGAATAGGAAGTCAAGGAAATATTTCTTCTAAAGGAGAGCTCTGCAAGGCCTGGAGACAGCAAAAGGAAGTGGTAGAAGCCCTTTTACTTGCCAACTAACATAGGCGTGACCTAAAAGAGACCTGAGAGGGCCTTTTGGGGCCGTGCTGACCCAGGCCAACCGACGTGTCTGTCTCTCTCCCCCTCTCCTCTCATCTTTAGCATCCCTTTCCTGGCTGAGGGTGTAGGGGCTTTTCTCTGTTTTAGCAAAATTTGGGGGACTTCAGCCAATTCCCATCCTGTCTGAGGAAGTTCATAACAGCCATTCTAAGAGAGTGGATAGAAGAGGAAGCTTGGCCAAGTAGGGCAAGGCCCACACTGCCCATTTGCCCAGCTGGGCAGTGAAGACAGACAAGGGAAGAAGGTGTGCCTAAGAGCCCAGGCTCTGGCATTGGATTGACTCTAGGCCTCTCTTCGTTCTGCACAGAGTGATAGCCATCTACAATCTTCATCAACTGTTATCTCTTGGAAAGGGAGAAGTAAAGAAATGTCTTGAGTCCAAAAGCACTTATATGTATCTCATTGCTAGAAAGCCAGCTTGAAGGCCCTTCTTCTATGTAATGATGTGAATCTGGGATGGTGACCCCTCTAGAAGTTTATAGAGGGGAGCTAGCACCTTCCCTTTCATCACCCTTACGTTTGAAAGGCACTGATTTCATTTTTCTTCTTTAGCTTTATTCAGTTACAATTTTAAAATATTTATTAGAGTGATACCTGCGGCTAAAGCTGGCTGGGAAAGAAAGCCTTTGACAAAATGTATTTAGTTAACAGGTTTCCATCTGTTCAGCCAGTGTCCACATAGGTGTAATATATTGCCTCATGTAAATATTGCATGGCCCATTTATGCCTTGGTTCAGTGTTTCTGTGTTGTCTGTGTGTCTGGTTTGTTTCTGGCATGTGCATGTGTCTATATCAACGGAGTAATTTGGGCAAAGTCAACGCAGCAAGTCCTGAAACTCGTACTTGAACCCAGACCTTCCAACCTGAAAGCTCATAGAGTTGCATATGTGGCACTGGACACATCCACCTTTATATGTTCATTGTTGAATTCTGAGCTCCTAGAATGGTGCTTGGCACATGGAAGGCATTTCACAAGTATTTATTAAGCAAATGAGTGATTATTAGGATAGTCTTGTGTTTTGATTCAGTCCGATGTTAGTTTCATTACAGGCCTGCCTCTGAGAGCTGTCTGCTAGCAGCGTGTACTCTTAGCAACATTACAGTGCTTATGGAAGAGATGACTCTGCCTATAGTGATTACTCATTTATTTTCTTAATTGCAATACAGTCTGTAGCCATTCTTTCTCTTACTATGTTTTAAATTTTATTCTTCAAGTCTACTGTAGATGGTAGTGAAGGATGTGAGGGGTTTCTGAGATCCTGATTTGTCTTATCTGTCTGATGATATTTTACAGCTTTTAGATCTCTTCCTCCAGTGGGATTGGTCAACCTACCTTGCTGACTATGGTCAGCCCACCTGCAAGTACCTCCGGGTAAACCCTGTGACAGCTCTGACCCTGCTTGAGAAGTGAGTACCCATCCAGTGGTCTGTGTTGGGGGGTGGGGATGGCAGGTTGGTATAGAGGATAATTTTCTCTTTGCCAATACCTTGAAAAGACCGCAAAGAGGCCCCATTCTTAAAGTCTCCATAGGTGCTCTCGGCAGTCTCCATCATTGGATTTGGCAGGCCAGTCTTCCTCTTGTGGCCTCTTAATTCCTGAGCCTTGACAAGCTAGGGCAAGTATGGGTCAACTGGGCTCTGACATTACCTCAGAGCTTACCTAGAGATGACAAGAGGAGAAAGGAAGATGCCTTAGTTTGGGGCTCAGTTCAGCCTGTGAACAGAGTGAGCCTGGCCCCAGCCATCTGGAGTATGATGATGGGTAGAGGACAGCCCCACAGAACAGACGGCTTCTTGTTCCTAGCAGAGAAGCTCCTGAAATTACTGAAACCTTCACCTGCCCCTCCAAGCCCCGCCCCTGCCAGACTGAGCTTTACTGTGCTGACTGTCCCAAGAAAGCTGTGTTGGAGGTGCCTCATTCTTGCCTTAGGCAGTCACTGGCCCGCAGAAGTCCTGCTACAGGGCTGTAGCATCTCTGACGGAGAGATGCTTCCACTGAAATTGAGTTAGCCAGGTCCGGAGCATCTCACTAACCAATAAGTCACCCAGATGCTGGAATCTGCTATTCATTGTAGCCTGGCTCTGGCTTTAGCTTACCTGGTTGAGAGCTGGCAGACCAGAGACTAAGAAGCTTTTTCTTGTCATCAAACTAGATAACCGCTGGCTTCTTAGCAGCTTCCTAGGAGAGTGCCTTGCATCTCGACAGTGTAGCAAGTCTACGGATATAGCCAGCCAAGCAGGTCTCAAATCCTAGCAAGGCAAGGATCAGAGTCCAGGAGGCCAGAGTGGAGCCTTAGACAGAAGCAGAGGCTGAGGTGTACCTTCCTACTGTGCAATATGACAGGGGAGAGAAGGGGAGGGGCAGAGGTGTGTGTTTGGAGCCAAGAAACTAAGAGCCCAGAGTTGACTTTCTCCAGATCAAGACAGAGACTGATGTTTCCATTTTGACTTTGTTTCCCATGGTTCTCTCTCCCAATGACCTTCTTCCCTAGGATATCTAGAGAGTAAGTATATTATTCACTTGGGCCTTTTCCATCGCTTTGAGGCAAGTCCTTCCGGTCTCTTTCGTTGACACTAATGACTACACTAATATCCCTACCCTGTGAGTTGTCCCCACCCTGACATACTAATCTACTAAACCAGTCTGGTGCCAACTGGCTGGCCGCCTCCTCTCTCCTTGGTCCTTAGAGTGACCCTTGGCTTACCAGTTCCTTTGGGGCTGGGAGTGGTAACAGGGATTTTCCCCCATCGGTGCCAGGTGAAGAGTTGTTCCCAGCCAGCTTCCTGGCACACGCAATACCCTTGCTAGTCCAGGGCCTAGCCCTGACACACGGGAGCTCCTCAGCAGTCTCCCCTCCCTCCCAGTGGTGAGGCCCATGGCTTTAAGATCTCCCGTCGAAGACCCTTTACTAGAGGCAAGGCCTCATCCCAGAGTTCTCAGTACCCAGCTGAAATGGCTTTTGCGTTGGTGCTTAGATGTCATATTCATTATGTGTCTAAACGGGCTCTAGGATTCCCTTTGGCCCGTTGCCTCTCCACCGTCCTTTACTCCTCTGTTCCTGAGAATCTCTAGATCCAAGAAGTACTGCTCATCTACTTCCTGTGCATCAACAATAGGCTAAAATAATCAGCCTCTCGGGAGCATTCTGGAGGCCTAGCCAGTAATAGAGCCATGTGCTTAGCCCGAGCGATCAGCAGGGTTTAAAACCTCCCTTCCAAACACAACAGGGCCAAAGGCCACCCAGGTCACTAAAATCTGTATTTCCCAGCCTCATAGGAATCAGTCCCTTTACCTGACCCATTCCTGCTTTCCCCTTGACACTCTCTCCTTTTCAACCTGACGCTTCTTAGCAGGGTGAGACATGGAAAGACCCAAAGACCTGACGAGGACATTTCAGGAAAGAGAAGAGGCCCCTGGTCACTGAGAGGTGGCCGTAGCCAAAGTAGACCCAGATCCTAGGCTTACAGAATGCAGTGGGGCGTGGGGAGGGCTCTCCTTTGGTTTTAGAGCGTTCCAGGGTACAAACTAGCAGGCCACCATCAGCCCTCAGGGCACCTGAGTTTCTCTTTCAAGTAATCCCAACTCCAGGTCTTCATGGCTAAAACATCCTGGCCTCTGGGGCCTGGAGACCACCCTCTTTTTCCCTTTCTCCTCCCTTACTTCTGGAACTTCCCTATGGGAGCTGAAAGCCGGCTCTGGCTGCCTATCTCTGGGCTGCTTTGAGGAGTCATGAAACTAATGATCACATAGGATGTTAAATGAAATGTCTTATAAAGGTAGGAAGTGTTTTTATTCCCTTATCGTTTCTTTCTGTTTTGCTTTGTGTTGGTTTTATTTAGATTTATGGTATATCCAGAAAAGGTAAAGGAGCTGTTCTCTGGGATAAATAATATTAAATCAAGCCAGTTCCACAAACATAATTGTGCAGTTCATGTTTAAGGGACCAAATACAATAATCATCATAGCCTTGGGGACCTTTGTGCTTTCTTTACAACCTAAACCTCTAAACCTCTGTCATCTCTCCTTCTTCCTCCCGTCCAAGCTCAGGCCTCCACATGTGGGTGGTTGTACCTTATTCACAGTGTCTAAGCGTGCTTGATGAGTAATTCCAGGCTGACGGCCCTAAAGCTTAGGTCAGAGAGAGAAGTCTCAATTCGTTTGTGGCTGTCACTGTCAGCCAGAGCCATAAAGCAATGGTGCTCATTAGAACCTCCCTACCATATGGATATAAATGTCCTTATGGGCTCTCTGGCCTTTTGACTGGCCTCTAGTCTGTCCCTCTGCACATGGCCACCCCACAGAAAAAAAAAACATGGGCCAGGATTGGCCAAAGGCCCTGGGAAGTCTGCCTGAAAGCAGTTTACTCCCCAGTGCCAGGTTCCTTCCATCCCCTCTCCTAGCCTATCTCCGTGCAGGCCAGGGGACTGTGAAGTCAGAGCTGGCCAAGTTCCTGGGGGACGGTGGTGAGGAACCGCCTAGCCTGACCCCAAGGAGAAATGAGTCTGGGCAGTGTCCTTAATTCTCTACCACTAGAACTAGCCGTGGGCTGGAGGTCCAGTGTGCAGAGGCTGGGGCCAGAGTTAACAATCACCAACAGATGTCAGGGGCTCTGGGCCCTTTTTGGGGAATAACAGATTCCTGGGATCTGTCACAATGGCTTAGTCGGGCTTGGGGGCTGCTCTGGCGACCTCAGCCTGGCCTTGACTTTCTCCATCCATGCTTCCCACTTAGGTCTCTCCATCTGGTGGAACTGGTGGCCAGAACTGCCCATGGTTTGTGCTCTAGGAATATTCCATCCCTGGAGTTTTAGCATGAGCCAGTTAGAAAGTTTTCCAAAGGTCAAGATCTGAAGACATAGCAGCCGTTGAGAACTTAGGGGCTTGCCTTGCCTAAAGCCCCGGTTGGCTCAGTCTTCTGGCGCCTGCTGTCCTCAGCGCCATGCCCTCTGGCCACCTCACTGCCCCTGGGCCCCTACCCTGAGGCAAAGGAAAAGAGATCAGTCAAGCCCTTGGTTTTGTTAGCGGTAGGATAGACCAACCAGGTAGAGTACGCTTTGGAAATGCACAGTGGCTTTCAGTTACTCATGTTCTTTCGGATTGCTAGTTAAGAGCAGCGTTCTGCTTTACCTTTCAAATACCAGCTGTAAGGTCCCAGCAGGATTTAGTAGGTTTATGAGGTGATAAGAAGACCTTAGACATTCTCTAAGGTCCTGTTGACCGTCAGGGCTGCAGCAGGTGCCAGATACCTACAACAGAGGCATACCGGGGCATAGAAGGGAAGGAAGTAGGTAGGGTGGGTATGGATGAGGAGGCGATCGGCCATGGCCGGCTCTTGACTGTTCTCCAAAGGTGACTGAAGTGGGGAGGCCTTTGGGTGCCAGGAGGGCAGCGTCGTGAACAGTAGTAGGTGAGCATGCGCCTGACAGGGAAGTGTTCTGGACTCTCTCAACTCCGGGTGGTGGTTAAGACACACTAGCCACCATTGCCGCCTCAAACACTTTGCTCTCTTTCTTCCCTTCTCTGTTTAGGATGAAGGACACTAGCCGCAAGAACAACATGTTTGCACAATTTCGGAAAAATGAGCGAGACAAGCAGAAATTGATTGACACTGTGGCCAAGCAACTCCGGGGACTCATCAGCAGCCACCACTCATGAAGGCAGGCCTCAGGCCCACAGAGGCTGCTGGCTGCAGCCCCAGAGTCCGGACCCCAGCACTGGCTGGCCCTGCATTTGTGCATTCTTCTTCAAAGAGAGCAAATGTATTTTTTTAATAACCTATGTACAGTATTCGCATAACCTTTCCCTATAGTGAAAGAGGCACGAGGGTAAGCAAGTCCACGAGCTGTTGCTAGGCTTCAGGGGAAGTCACACTACACTGTCTGTATTTTCCTAGAGATGGCGGTGTCATTGGTCCAGTATCGGTATCGGTATCGGTATCGGTATCGGTCCACCTTTCATCTGTGGCTCTAGAGCTTAGATCTGGGGCTCAGAAACCACACAAACAAAATGGGTACTTGGCACTGGGAGGTAAGGTGAGTAGGCAGAAGGATAATAAAGTACATCCTGTTCACTCCTTGGTGCCCCATTCACCGTGTAGGTGAGGCCGATTCTTCTTTATGCAAGGAAAGGGCCTGGAAAACATTACTACTTAGTCTATCAAAGACCAGCACACAGTTCTGGAGGTTCATCTCTTCAGTCCACTGACTTTCACTGACCAGTGAACAAGCGTGCTGTGTGGCAAGATGACGGCTTCGCTCCAGTCCCCGCAAGGATGGCATTTTTTAGCCTAGATCTGACCCAATGCTTTTACTTCTAAGTTTTCTGGGGCCCGGTAGAGCTGAGTATGCAGCGGGAAGAATTGGATCTCATGACTAACTATAGGCTGCCCCACACCAGGAGGAGATCTTGAAAGCCAGTGCAAATGGAATCAGAGCCCCAGCCCTTCCCCATTCCTCTCATTGCCTTCTTTCAGGGTCAGGGTACTTGGTTCAGGGCATAGGTCAACAGTTATTCCATAGACAGAGAGTCTCAGACTTGGCCTCTTCCAGCAGTGTCATTGGGATAGTCAGATTCCAGAAGCCTGAAAATGGCCCTTACTTTACCCTTAGGTAAAACCTTGGAATCATTCCTTTGTGTTTTAAAGCCAACTTTCTGGCCACCATCTTTAAAGGAAATGTCATCAACTCTGAACTGTGGGGACAGCTGTAGCTGGACTGGATGCCTTTAGGGATGGAACCACTGTCACCGTGAAGTAGAGCGGGTCAGCCATGGCTAGTGGTTTGTTACCCATGGCACAGCTGTCCCTCACTAAGTCATATCCTGGATAAGCTCTTCTTGCTCTAGCCCAAAGCTTCCATCCCCTTTTGAGATCCCCATAGCTATCTTTTGGCTTCATCTGAGAAGGATTGCCTATAATCCTATCCCTCAAGCTCTGGAGTTTGCAAAGGAACCTGGACCAGCTAGCTTGGAGGCTGTGTCCTCTGTCCCAAATGGGCTCCCGAGACTTAATGCAAGGGCTTCACTATGAGGTCAGGCAGAGGAATCTGCCCTTTAAGACATTTCAGGAAGATGCTACTAAGCCTGCTGGCAAAAGTATAATTGTGCATCACCAAACAACGACAAATAAGCCACACAGTCATTTCCAGCTTGGGTTAGTGGAAGGAAAGACTCATCAGACAGAATTCTTCACTCCCTTTGTCAGCTGCTGAGTTGCTTCTAGGGAAGGCAGTGCTTCCTTTTTCACACACCCCCACCAAATATTGTATCACGACTTAAAAACCATGAGGAAGAGAATATGCACACCGACAGGCAGGCTTCCTCAAAGCTGGAGACCAGGCTGCGTGTGGGCTCTGCAGAAGCCCTCTGAGGCTCATCCTAGGGGCTAGGCAGTTTGCCCAGGTCTCAGAACGAGGCTCAGAGATGAGTGCTGCTACCCAGAACTTCCATAGCCAAGGAAACACAGGGGTCCATGGGAATGAGACCCAAACTACCATCTCTCAGGCTCTGGACTTTATTAGAAAAGAACGAGAAACGACCACACTAATCCCATTGCTTCAGAAGGGCCCCCAGCACCCTCCTTCACTAGATGCCAGTTTACGGCGAGATCTCTTCCGCTTTGCGTGCTGAGACTTTGAAGTGGAATGGAGAGAACCTTAAGCATATCACAATATTTTTCAACTGTTATCATTGCTGGCCTGGTCTCCAACCTGTACCCTGGGGCTTCCCTGGTGGCACAGTGGTTGAGAGTCCGCCTGCCGATGCAGGGGACGCGGGTTTGTGCCCCGGTCTGGGAAGATCCCACATGCCGTGGAGCGGCTGGGCCTGTGAGCCATGGCTGCTGAGCCTGCGCGTCCGGAGCCTGTGCTCCGCAACGGGAGAGGCCACAGCAGTGAAAGGCCCGCGTACCGCAAAAACAACAACAACAACAACAAAAAAAAACCTGTACCCTGGAGAAACAGTGCTATAGAAGAGAAAGTGAACAGTGTGGAGGAACGGGGGTTACTCTGCCCCTTGCACACAGAGGTCCCTCTACAGAGAAAGCTTATTCCAGCCCAAGACTCACAGGGTGGATCCTTTGCTAGGTCCCTTCTTCCCTCTCGGTCTGCCTCAGCCTTCCCTAATGAAACCAGCATGCAGCTACTGAGTTGTCTGTGGGGACGCACTCTTGGTGAGCAGAGAAAGGTAACAAAACAGGGACCAGCAATGTCCAAGCTGTTTGAATTGGTGAAGTAGGAGTTTTCAGTTCTGTCTATAGGCCTCTAGCTGCGCCAGCCCTTGCGAGGACTTGTACAAAGCATGGGTGTCCATGCCCTTCAGACTCCTGACATCTGGGCTCAAATGCCCAGAGGTGTAGAAGTGCCCTGGAGGCCTCAGTAAGAGGCGAGAACATGGGTGCCTGGAGGTCTTTCCGTCTTCTAGTTGGCTGAGTTCTTGGGAAAACCAGGTCCATATTCCTGAAGGGACAGTCAGGTTCGGGACCCTAGTGGGTTTCAGTAGTACTTTAGGCAGCTGGTACAGTTTTAACGTATCTCATAGCAAAAGCACTTTGAGTAGACTGTAAATGGATCTCTTGGGGATGGGGAAGAACAGGACCTGGAAATTGGAAACAACAGAGAGTCCCCACTGGTAAAGGGAATATACAGGCCTACAGGGAGAAGTCCCCAGTATTTTCATTGTCTCCCAGGCCTCCAAGTCAGCCTGCACACTTGACAAGTGCTTGCTCAGCAAATCCCAGGCCCAGGGCCCTTTATCCCCAAGATTGGCATTGCCCATGACTCTCCCCATGAGGCCTCCGAGCACACTCCCTGGGGCCTGCTGCAGAAATCCCCCTCACCGTAGCCTCGCTTCTCCCAAGACTCCACCTGGCTGCTTCCACTGCCTCTTTTGTTTTTCTTTCTTTTGCCTGAGTTTGCAGTTACTTTTCACTAATGTGTTGGAAATGGCCTTTTTATTTTGCACATTTATGGGGGATATTTAGGAAAGTCCATTTTTAACTCTAAAGGGAACTTTTTTCTTTAAAACCAGTAAAGCTACTGATACAGATGGGCCTCAAGGTTAGTAGAAAACCTCTTACGTGGAAAGAGCATGTTTATTCCTCCTGTACGTTTTCCTCTTTTAACTGCTATTAAATAAGACAGCCTACGTACCTGTTCAAAAGCCACGGTGTCGTCTCACGGTGTTTTGTTCTCCCGCCCCTTTTGCACACTGCAGCCATGGTAGGCGATCGGGATGATGGCCATTGCGCCCCTTGAACCGGACTGAGGACTAGAGCAGGCAGAAGCCTGGTGGGGAGGAGAAAGCCTGCCTGCCAGACAAGGCAAGGAGTCGAATTGTGGCCTTGGAAACATTCCAAATCACTGGGCCAGGCTTTCCTGTCTCTACAGTTAACACTGGCATCATCATCAAGAGGAATAACCCTTGACATGCCTGGTTTGTAGGGAGCTGGGCTAGGCAACTGGGGGCTCAGTGTGTTTTGAACACCAGCCCTGCCATGGAAAGGCTCCTGGGTAAGATGGAGCCAGGAGGGATTATCTAGAGGAAGGAGCGAAATGAGCCCGCCTTAGAGCTCAGTGGTGGAGAGGGACAGGCATCACGGTCTGGTGTAGGAACGGGTCTGGTCAGGGAAGACAGCACAGGGAAATCAGGATGTTCATCAGCTGGGCCTTGAAGGAATTAAATTCAATATGGTGCCGACCACATGAGAGTGAAAAGTTGGCACAAGTCTGGTGTACGCTGGGAGGAGAGTGGGGGACCTGGTAGGCCTATCAGAAACCATGGTGAGTAAGGCCCGAAATGTCTGTGTAACAACACCCAGCCTTCTTGGCCCCGAGGCTGGCATGGAAGCCATGGGAATAGGCTGGAGAGAGTTTCTTCAGTTATTAACAAGTCTGACTACTGCAACTGGGCTTTGGTGCCTCAGAGACCTGGGCTTCACTTCCTGCTGTGCCACTTACTAGCTGGATGACTTTGAACAATTAACTCCCTAAATCTCGTAATCCTCAGTGAAAGCAGAACCTAGTGCCTAATTGACAGGCGTGCTGTGAAGTGTAAATGACCTATGCGTGGTCGATATGCCTAGCCAGTTCCTAGCCACAGCACACGAACTCTTTCAGGCCTTTCCCTCCCTCCCCTCAGATTCCACAACATGCTGTAGCTGAGCATTGGACAGAAGTGTCCACAGCTTCTCTGCCACCTGGCTTCCACTCCCCAAGCCCATCACAGGCTTAATGGTACTGAGGCCCCTCGAGCACCTGTGTAGACACAGAGGAACAAGCCCTTCACATCAGCCAGCCAGTTGCCTGGCTCAGAGTTGAGCCAGTCCTTCGGGTAGAATCTGCCCCTGAATTCCACCTGGGACCTTCTCTGCCACAATGTATTCCTCCTTTTAGAATTCAGGAGTTCTTGACCAGAGGTCCATGAACCCTTGGAGTGTGTGTGTGTGTGTGTGTGTGTGAATGCACGTACAGGCGCGCAGGCTTGCATCCACTCATTTTTCTGGCTAGAAGGTACATGGCTTTCATCAATGTCTAAGGAAGATTCAGGACTGAAATCCTGAATAATAACCAAATCCCTCTGGAAGTATAGATCTCCCCATGAGGAAAAGCCAGACTCCGAGCAGTTACCTCCTCTCCCTGCCTCGTAGAGTTCTGGCAGGGAGATTTTTCAAGACCTGCAGCCCTGCGGCCCCCCTCTTCCAGGAACCCTCACACGATCCCCAGGTCACACCTAAAGGCCGGTACAACCACGTTCCTAAGCTTGATCTCCCCAAACCAGTTCAAGGTACTGAGGGAGGCACGAGGACCCTGTACTTCTAAGAATACAGAGACTTCCACCTGGTTGAGGGGATCGCAAACCAGAGGGTCCAGTACAGAGGCGTGGGCTGTCAAAGCCAAACTGAACCCAACTCATCCCCCCCCCCGAATGTTTCCCACAGCTTCTGAGTCAGCACTGACGGGGACAATGTCTTGCCCAAGGCCTTGTCCAGAGAGGGCTCTGCGGGGAACCAAACCAGGGACAGATGTGAAGCCGTCACCAGCTTGCCCCTTGTCTCATCTGATCCAGGCAGATGAGGGTGGGGAATGGCTAGTGGGAGATAAGGGGAGGGAGGAGAAAAAGTGCCAGACCCTTTCCCCGGAGGCCTCAGCTTTGAATTTAATGGACAATATTTGCTGGGAATGAGAGAGACTCCAGGCCCAAGAGACCAGAAGACAAAGGCTCCTGAGGAAGTGCAGGGAGGAGGAGGGGTGCGGTGGGGGCCAGGCATTGTGCGGGGGGCACCACCCCTCTATCTGTTTCCATCACTGCTGGGGTTAGGGTTACCCTGCATTTGGGCTCCCAGCTGCTCTGCGGGGTCTGTGACATCAGCTGTTGTGATGTTAATGCAGGGGCCTCACACAGGGTTACCCCTTCGCGCCCGGCCAGCCCACATGGGCTCCTGGAGAGGATTCCAGCTCCTGTTCCCTCAGGGAGGGGGCAGTCTGTGGGCCCAGAACCGAGCCCAAGACAGCAGCCCCCCTCCCGGTCTGAGCCCACTGCTAAGTATACCTTCCAAGCCCAAGCTGTGACCTTCCTCTCTCCAAAGCTCCAGAAAAGGAATGAAATCTGAACATTGAGACGCTTTTCTGGCCCTAAACAATCCTTCCATTCTCTAGGCTCAATGATAGGTCTATTTCCTCCTGTAAATGGGTCTCGTAATCTTCAACTTTTACCTTTGCTTCTAAGGGTAATTAATTGTATCTCCCTCTTGTTCTCCTCACACACTCCCCTCTCTGTTACAAGGCTCAGGTTAACCTGGGTGGATGGCTTTTCTTTCTTTCTATTCCACGGAGTGCTTATTTTTAAAGCTGATGGAGTAACGCCCTGCCCTCTCCAGTGAACCTCTTTTCCAGAGAAGACTGCTGGGGAAACACCACTTCCATGGGCACAGGAAAGGGGCCTCAGACTGCCCAGCTATAGGTTTTTCAGATAGCCAGTTCTGAGCAACCATTTCACTTTTGTTCCCCCAGGTATGTTTCCAAGGTTTTACGGAAGGCATTTTCACGTACCACTCAGGAGCAAAGAGGAGGGTTAAGTGGTGATCTGGACACTGGAGACAAAGGGAGGCAAAGATGGGCATGGGAGAAA